CAATTGAACCGTTTGTCAAAAGTGACCCCCAGATATTTTATGTTATCCTCCCACTGTATCTCCGTGTCGCAAACACTCACTCTTGGAGGATGCTGTCTTCTTTTTCGAGTTATAAATATAGCCTCGGTTTTGTCATTATTAATTTTAATCTTCCATTTTTGGAAGTATTCCACCATAAGGTCTATATTTCCCTGTAAAGTGTTGCTTACATTTATGGCATCCCGATCCGAGTAGCTCAAGCACTTGTCCTCTGCGTAAAGCGCCATTGACGTGGGACATAAGGTGGGGATGTCTGCCGTATATACATTAAACAATGTGGGAGACAAAGGTGACCCTTGAGGTACACCTGCTACTATTGATCGGGCGGACGAAAGAGTGCTATTAATTTTAGTACGGAAGGACCTTTCTTGCAGGAAGCTACCAATAATTTTAGTCAAACCACTAGGGATCCCAAAACGGGCCAATTTGACTATTAGACCATCATGCCAGACCATGTCAAAAGCTTTGGCTATGTCAAATATAATCATCCCGGTTGACTCCCGTTTACTTAGAGCGGTTTGTATCAGCTGCACAGTTCTGGCTAGTTGCAGTTCCGTGGAGAGATTATCCCTAAACCCAAATTGCTCGTCAGGAAGTATATTTAGGGTATATACTACACCGCTGTTTTAAGCCTAGTCAGGATTACTCGTTCTCCCAATTTCCCCATTGTTGGGAGTAGACTGATAGGACGTCAGTTCTGCGGAAATGAAGGATTCTTATGCGGTTTAGGAAACACTATGACTATTTCTGATGTCTTGTACGACAATAATAAAAAAAAAAATTTAGTTTGAATATTCTTGAAATTTTATTAAAATAAAGATGTGATGTATATTTTTCTAAAAGAATTATTACAGCTGAATCTTTTTAGACTCTAAATGTTTATCGAAGCTCATTCTGAAGTAAAGTTAGATATTTTATGTTTCATCTAAATTTTTATTTACAAATAAAGAAATAAATATATATTATATAAATAAATAAATATATAATAAATAAGTATAAATAAGCTTAAAAAATCAAATGAACTCTTTTTAACTCACCTAAATTTTTTTTTTGGAGAGGTGGTGAAATGAGGATAGAGCAAAAATATCTGTTGTCAGTTTATTGTAGCTAAGATTAGTAAAAACCACTGCACTGCAGATTACAGATGTACCTATAAACCATATACAGATCTATCTATAGTCACCCCTCACTTACAGAGTATTCATCTAAGTCCAACTTTATCTATGAATTGTAGCATTGAACCTACATAACCGAATTTGATTTCCTTGCACGATATAAGATGTACATGCAGGTACTTGATTGCAGTCAGTATTGTTATTATTATGTTTAGGAAGTATGCACTGCAAACTACAGATTTATTTTGTCTCTTTATGACAGAATATTCACCCAAATCCAACTTTCTCTATGAATTGCAGTATTGAACCTACATCAAAATTACTGAGATTTATTTCTTCATCCAATATTAGTTACGCACCTAGGAACATCTTTCATTCAGATATCAGTGCGGGATAAACTCCGAGCACTTGTATTGAAATCTCATATTCTTTTTTACAGAACCAATATTATACGTTATAGGTCAAGCAATGAGATTGCGCCTTTCTTGGCAAGTTTGTCTGCAATTTCTTTGCGGGGAATTTCAGCGTGACCTTGAATCCACAGGATTAATATTTGATTGTTTTGGTTAAGGACATTCAGCTTTTCAAGATACCCCATTACCAGTCTTAATATTATCTGATGACAACTGAGTGCCTTTATTGCTGTCTGGGTATCAGTTAGGAAGAGTAACTATGGTTCTATTGTATGGTCTACTGTTGTATGCAACAGTGCTGATACTGGCGGAAAATTTTATATCCATATACATATCTGTTTGTTTTGCCCAAGGATATTTAGCTTTTTGAGACACTTCATTAGCAGTCTTGATGTCATTTGATGACAATTAAGCGTCTTCACTCATGTCTGGTTATCAATTAGAATGGCATTCTGTAGTTTTGGTAGTTACGTTCAAGGTTAAATTATAAATTATATATCAGATTTTAAACATTTTTTTAAAACTATACTTTACGAGTAACATTAACATTATATTTTCAGGAAGTTACTTTTTAGGAATTATATATTTCTTGCGATTAACACAACTACCGTATGTTATCTTTAATCATCTGTAGAATCGCCGCTTTGACTAGGATTAAATATGAATGTAAAAAGGGGTAAGTAAATGGACACCATCGGAAGTATTCGTTTGCCTTCCGTATAACATATAAATGTCAGTCTTTGTATATTTATGAGTGTATAAATCAATGTGTCTTGCTTTGTATAATTCCACCACAATTCCACTCTAAAAGTAATCGTAGGTCTAACAATTATTTATAAACTCAAAAAATTGGCTATTTCTTAAGCGTGAAGTTTCCATTGTAATTTTTGGTCTGACATTATTCCCAAGAGTTTTGTTTCCTGCTGTCATTATAACCCCATACCACTAAGTCCGATAGATTTGAATTGCTCGAGTTTATATTTCTTCGTGTGTAATGGTTTATTAAAAATCTTTACTGGATTGATATTCAGTCCTACCACAAACACTTTTCTTGTTAGTCTTAGTTGAATTAAATTTGTACTAACACAGATTTAAAAACTCTCATCAGAAATACACAGATTTAAAATATTAAAAGAAGGAATAAATGTTTATGATCTTTAATATCAGCTTTGTAATCTGATAGTATTTGTACTCTTAATGAGTTGTTGTTATTGTTACTACTCTCTGTCTTCTAGACAAGATGATGCAACTAAATTCTTCTGTTTCTGACCACATAATGTTATGTTACTTTGTGAATAGAACGAACCCGCCTATTTTGTGGTTTCTATTTCTTCTATCTTCTGAGAACATATGTATTGATGTAGTTACTACTGTTGTTACTAGATACACGTTTGAGTTTCTATTACTATTTGTATTTTTTTCTTCCATTTTGGAAGTCGAAGAGTATTCTTATTTTTATATAGTTGTTTATATTACTGAGTGAAATTTAAAAAAAAATTATTTCTCATATTTAATGCTAGAGTGGTATTTTAGTTAAAGTAATTTGAGAATTTTTAGGGGGTGGAGCTTTTGAGAAATATATTGTTGTTGAAATGAATAAAACCTATTTTAAGTTCATTACTATTAACCAAACTGGTCACGCATTAAATTAAATACATTACAAAGCTTTTTAACAGAATGGTTAAAAATAACTCTCTAACTAATAGAGCAGAAGTATAATAAAGGTTAAATTTCGACCTGCCGCCAAATACTAGATACATTAAATCGATACATAATTTAACATTGGTAAATCTTTATTCTAAATAGGAAAGAAATCCACGTTAAACCATAGATTTTTTAACTTAAAATATTTTTAATAAAGGAAGTCCTTTTCATAAGTTTTTAGCTAAGAACATTTTGTAAATAAAGTTAGCTTTCAAAAAAATTAATTTAAAATTAAAATAAAAAAGCCTTTAGTTATAAATATTACCAAAAATCCATTGAGTTACCCAGAGGTATAAATCTACTGGTCTATTATGTCATAAGTAATAATTACTAATCAACTCAACACTGCATATTTCAATGGCCACTCATCTTACATACTGACAGGTTCAATGATACTGATAGACAATGCACCATATTGTCTTGGTGAAACAAAATATTAATCTTCATATGGCATGCGGTGGTTTTTTCACAATTTCTCCTTTCAAACGATCCAGTAATGCCGTGTAGTAGTTACTATTGATGGCCAAAATGTTTTCTCTTCTCGAGATAGTCAATGAAGATTATATCATGTGCATTCCAAAATACTGAAGCCATAACCTTCCCAGCCGACTGTTGTGCTTTTGGACGCTTCAGACGTGGTTCACCGGCTGCAGTTCACTCAGATGATGATCGTTTTGATTCCGGAGTGAAGCGATGGATAAATGTTTCATCCATTGGTACATATCGATGTAAAAAATCTGATTTATTACGTGTAAACATGGCCAAACACTGCTCTGAATCATCAACACATTGCTGTTTTTGATCGACTGTGAGTAAACGTGGCACCCACTTTGAAAATAGCTTTCTCATGGTCTAATGTTCATGCATAATTGTAAACACACTGCCTTCTGATATCTTTACGGTCTCAGCTATTTCACGCAATTTCAATTTACGATCAGATATAACCAATTTTTAAACTTTTTGGATGTTTTCTGGAGTAACCATCTCAATTGGACGACCAGAACGTTCACCATCATCGGTGTCTGTACAACCACGTTTAAATTCAGTAAACCAATAACAAATTGTTTTTTTCGATGGAGCAGAGTCCGAGTAATACTTTTGAAGCCATTGCTGAGCTTGTACAGTATTTTTTTTCATCAAGAAGCAATGATAAATTAACACACGAAATTGTTTTGAATCTATTGTTTTAAAAATAACAAAAGTAGCTTCACTTAAATGGCTGTCACTTTTTTTCTGACTAATCGAAATGTCATGAAACTTTACATATAGTCTTTTGAAGGTTGGTACTCCATAAATATCATAAGGATTTGACAATGGCAGCGCCATCTGTGTGTCAGTCACACGATTTATTGAGTGATGTAATAACTGCTCTTGAAATATTAAAAGTCCGCCATTAGGATAAAGACAAATAAGCTTTGAAACGTCGACGAAAGTTATATAGAATTCTATATAATAATAAAACAAAAATAAAGACTAATTCATAAGTTCTTATTTTATGTTTCACTTCTGTCTTTAATTAACTGTAAAAAATTATGAAAATGAACTAATAACTACTTTATTTAAAAAATTTTTTCTTGTTTTATATAAATTATCCTATAGTATCCAAAAGACATATAGTATTTAGTCATCTTTAACTTACCATAACACTTAATTGAGACAATGAAACTAAAAAAGCTTTTTTAAAACACTAAAATATATTTATTCCAAAACTTTTCTAATTTTTTATTTTCTAAACAAATAAATAAAAATTTTCACCAAAATAGTATTTCACAAATTCCAAATAGGGCAGCATAATTATCATCCAATCTAGCTAAACTTTTCGACTCATCTCAAATATTCAAACGTAATTCATGTTATCTATTGTAGCTTTGAATAAAAGTAAAATAACTTCTTAAGACATCCTTAAAATCTTCAATGCTTTAATTTTGCTTTGATTATCTATTGGCCCGAGCACGATTTGCACGTCTATTTTCACGCCTTAACTTTTTCATGAGTGCATTGTCTTTTGCCAAAAGAAAATGTGTTGGAGTCTCATCATCATTTAGCTCTCGAGTCATTCTATCTTCCAAAGTAATGTCGCTCTCTGATAGGAACACTTTTTCTTTAGTAACACCATAAACCATCAAATTAAATTCCCTTCGCACATACTTCCAAATATTACGAGTCGGTAAAACTAGAGTCACGCAAAATATGGCTAAAATTAGATAGCTAGCAACATGAAAGCTACTTCTCTGGATCGAAACGACCAAATCCTTTGAACCCCACTTAAATAAAGATAACAGTAACACTACCGTATAGGCAAACCATCTACAGATATAATTCAATATGACTAAGATTGTATGCCAAGTATAAGTAGTGGATAAATGAACTGTAAATCCAATCCAACAGAGTTGCATGAGAAACGTCAGCATTTTAAGCATCAAAGGAAACGTCCCATAGCCTGGGAAACTTGGTCGCTTTAATGTAACAAAGCTAAACATAAGGAAATAAAAAGCAGTGTACACTATTGTATAGAACTGCTGTTCAGTATGCTTCATGGAAATGATCGGGAAAAAGTGGTACCCATACCAAACAACTGCAACAATGATGAAAATTATCACTTCAGACATTGTTTGACCCTCATTGCGTCCCCATGTTATTACACGTGCGTTAATTATATCAGCCAGACCGGAAGGCGAAGCCTTTATAAACATTCCTTCATAGATTTCAGTATCGGATTTATATGGTTTTAGAACCGGAACATTTTTTTTTGCACGTTTTTTTTCTTTTCGTCTAGGCATAGTTGATTTTTAATTCAAAGTTAACACTAAATGAGATAAAATTTTTATAAATAATAAGTTTTTATATAAAATAAAATATGTCATAACTTGACTACTAGATTAACTGTGATTTTTATGAATATTTTATTATTCTTTATAATATATAATGAAATCCATATTTCCTACGTTCTTCGATTATCCTATATACTACCTTTAGATTTCTATTCTTCTATATTTGTTGGCACTAGATGGTCTTGGTATCCTTATATATGGCAACACTTATCTAATTTTGCCAGACAAATCGTTATGCGATATGCTTCAATGGTAAATTTGCATGCTACTTTTCTTTATAAAGAATTTATGTAAATTGTCGCTCAAAAAAAAAGCTATAGGAATGCAACTAGCTTTGATCGGACTGTCACTCAATAAATGGAACACGAACGACACCCAAGCTGCCAGAAGTTAGAAGAGGCACTAAACATCAACCACTTGATAGTTTGATACCATATAAAAAGAGCAGGCTATGCGAATACGCTTAATGTTTGGGTACCATATGAATTAACACGAAGAAATTTGATTAAACAAATTATGATCAGTGAAGCGAAACGATAAAACATGAACGATAACAAATGAATTAAATTCGATAATACAGAATGCAAGCGGTCTTAGTATAATCCGGCGACTCTCCATAGAGCCTGGATTGACGACAAACAAAGTTAATTTGAAGTTGATTGATTGAAAGTTGATTGTTTGGTGGGATTGGAAAGGAATTATCTGTCAAAAGACGTTTCAGCCTGGTACAATGGTGAATGCGGTCCTCAATTGCTAAAAACTCACTTGTTTGAACGAAATAATCAAGAAAAACGACAAGAATTGATCAACAAAAAATGGATTTCGGTTTCATCATTACAATGCCAGGCTACATACATCTTTGATGATGTGAAAGAAATTGACGAAATATGGTGGAAAAGTTTTGATGCTCCCATCCTATAGCTCGGATAACTATTTATGTCGGTGTCTGCAAAACTCCCTTAATAGTATAAAGTTGGCAGAATGAAGAAGGATTTCCCACTGAAAAAAACTTGACAAAGTTTTCCGCCGTTAAGCCATAGAAGTTATACAGGTCAAAAAAATATTTACTTAATTTGAAATTAATTTTCGTGATTAAATTTCTTAATTATAACCTTTTCTGTATTCGAAGTAAATACTTTGACCGTATACATAAATTTATTTTCTGTAGGTTTAAAATATTTCACAACCTAATTAGACGTCCTAGTTGCTATTTTTAAAATTTCACTCCATGTTTAACTAACGAACTCCAAGAGCAAATCTAGCCCGAAACCTTCTCCCAGATCAGTCAGTTGTCCCAGTTATATTTTCCTAGTTTAAATATTTTAAAATGGGATTACTTTCATATATAATAATATGAGTTTGTATAAGTAGTAGTAAATAATAAATTTAATTAAATATTTTATGAAAATAAATTAAATATTTAATAAAAAAAACATACTCACATTTATAGTGAAATCAGTGATGTTTTTGGAGTTAATCTGAATAAATTTTTGAGTACATAAATTTTAATAAGATGACGTTATTAAACCGTTATAAAAGTTATATTAGTTAGAAAGTAACAAAAACAAAAAATTTTAAAATTAAAAAAAAGTGGGCAGACATCCCCACTTTAAGTCCCACGTCAATGGCGCTTTACGCATACGACACGTGCTTGATCTACTCGGATCGGGATGCCATAAATGTAAGTAACACTTTACAGGGAAATATAGACTTTATGGTGGAATACTTCCAAAACTGGAAGATTAAAACTAATAAGAACATAGTCTTCTGAAATCATTGGTGTTATCAATTATACTAACGGCTCTAGGACAGGTAATAAGTATTTGGGTAGTGGTTGTTTCTCTGAGAAAATGAATGGACATATATAAATATGAAGGCTTTTTTATGATCGTAATATCTTTTAGAAAAAATAACAAGGAAATGAATAAAGAATTATTACCCCGTAGACAGCTAATTAGCGGTCATTCCGAAGACTTTGGTTGGGTTAATCTGTAAGGATTAACGTTAGCAAGGTAAGGGTAACAAATGTCATTCTAACGGAAAGCGGTTTGTGATTTGATAACTCATCATATGCAATTTATTTCATATATATAATTTAACTACTCTTGTCCTTACTATGAAAATAATGAAGAAAATGTATCACACTTGTTTAGTCATTGTCCTGTGCATAAACAGTTTAAGTGAAACCAGATGAAGACTTACCATTTTAATCAACCACAAAATTTTACTTAAAAAGCAAGTTATATAGAATTAATATATATGAAGAATCAATTCATAATTTTGAATTCATTGAGATTTCTATGGAAAGTCGATAGTTACCAAGGTATGAGTAATTATAGTGCAAATTTTTTTAAGTTATACCACATAGAAATACTTACCTAAGGCATAAATACGATACCCACTTCAAAGTGACTAACACCCACTGCAAATTTGTAAAACGTGTTTAGTTCCAGAGAAAACCAATTAATAATGACAACAAAATATAATAAACTTTTTAAATTTTGAAATTCTAGTAATGTTTAGTTTAGTTACTTCAGTAGAATAAAATTTGAGATTACATTAAACAGAAGCAAGAATATATTATTTAATACTTTTTATTATTTCGTGAAATGTTTATTCTGGCCAACTAGATCTTATTACTTACTCAATGATTGCTATGAATTAATAACTAAACTGAAAGAAAATGCGTTCTCAGCTTTAATGACATGGTACCTGTGCACTAGAACAACGACATTCTATAGGTTTCAGTTCCACTAAGCTATGAACTGTAAATACGACTTCAGAAATCTTTAAATAATGTTTGGCGACTCTGTTACTGAAAGGGATCTTTTAGCGTTCCTGGAAGTCGCAAACAAACCTATCACTCAAGGTTTAATTGTATCTGATATCGCTAAGAATAAATAACATTATGCGTAGTTAACGACTAGCCTGATTAATCCAACCTAATTTATTAATATTATTTCATTTATTACAACAATAGACTCAAAACTGTTTGTTGCATTGTATATTATTATAATTATAATGTTTGCACTGTGACCTACAGACCTATTGTGCCCCTTGATGGACTTTAAGTAATTCTACAAATTCAAGTTCTACAATTAACTTTTTTTTGTTTAACGATGTGTAAAGCAATCAAGAGTTTTAGTCAAACTCGTCCGACAGTTCGCCCACTCATGATTACCGATTTGGTATTTAATCAAGAGATCTTTCAAAGCCCAATTTCCCTCTTTTTTAGAATAAACAACTAAAGTGTCTATGAACTGTACTTAAAAAACATAATCATATGAAAAAATAAAACAATAAACTAAAAAGCAGCCACAGTTCCACCTTAATGCACTATATTCCGTAATAAATTGAGGAAAAATAGTATAGGTTGACAGGTGGACTTAAAACCATATGATTCGCTCAACAGTCATGGTTTCGCTATTAAAAGTCATCTAGGTTATTATAAATCAGAATCAGATTAGTGACAATAATACTATTTTAATAGCAATAATTATGAAAATGGTTTTTGCATATCTTTTGTAGTATCGTTGCATTGGTGTCAGTCTAACGTCCTTTGAAAAAAACAATCTCGTACTAATTGACATTAAAGATGTGATATACTACACCAGCAAAGGCAGCACTTTTAGCACTTTTTACCTAAGTAGGTAAGCAATCAGAGACCCATTAGCGTCGATTTACCACATTTGATGTGCTAAAATCAACATATTCGTGTCACTCTCGACACAACTCCTTTTCCGTGTGCCAGCAAACTTCTTCAGCAGCAATTGTGTCAATAGAGGAAATGTGGGTCAAAGCAGCTCATGTCAAGTGGCACAATTTAGCACTTACTCAATCTTCAATCTCGTAAATTCTTAAATAATTAAGTAATGAACCCAGCGCTAAACATGAAAACATCCAAAAATATATTAAATGTAATGAAAATACTAGTGTATATAAAAAGACTTGTACTTCTTGTACTCATCATCAAATCACATGAACTTACATATGAAATATTTAAGGTTCAACAATTCTTGGTCATGTTTACCAACTTTTTTTTTTTTTGTTTTATTGTGAGAACAAACAAATGGTGATCACTTAATCTTGGAGGCGTTCAAAGAAAGTTAAACAAATTCTTTAAATAAATATTTGACAAAATCATTGCTTAGACATATTTATTTTTAGTCGTAAATTTTGAGTTAGATTGGAAAGCACGTCTATGAGATATACCAGAGACTGCGCTTAATAGGAAGATTTTACCTTTGTTCGAGTTAATATGGAAAGAATGAAATTATCATAACTTAAACCGATAATTGAGAAATTGTTATAACTCAAGCAGTTTTATTTGGGCACTTAGTTACGCCCATAATCGCAAAGTACTTCAATTAGCGCCTTTGCAGTTCTATTTGTGTAACGTCATGGCTGCTTGCCCAATCCGAACCGTAAATACAGCAAATTATTAACTCCAATGACTAATTGAAAACAATGAGACAAAATATTTAAATGATTCATTTTGAAATTGTATTTACTTAACTTTTTTCAAAATAATTTCATAGCAAATATAAAAAATTATATGCTTAACAAATTGAAAACGTGGGAAAATTTTTGACGTTAAAATATTTTGAAAAAGTATGAAGAAGTTAGAAGTTCTAAAAGGTAATGCTGTCAAAGTGGTATTGAACACACGTGTAAGTAATAATTTTTTTAGGATTGACTGAATACTTAAAAAGATAGTAGAAAGTGGTTAATAATAATTTTATCCTCGTAAGGTTTAATCGGAAATACAAGTGATATCGCGGAACTTAAGAACAGACATCCCGATTGATAGCCATACGTTATCAATGCGCTTAAATCTTAATAGGTGACATCTAAACTGATTGTTGCGCTTCTAAACCATAATTGTCCAAGAAACTTAAGTATGGATTTTAAAGATTTTGAAACATTTTATGGTTCAACATATGGTCCGATATGTAATATATTGTTAAACATGCGGAAATAAGCAATATTTTTAGTTGTAGCTCCAAAACCAACTTTGTGATTCTTGAAAGTGTAATATTTTGTGTTGGTTAGTAAAATAGAGTAAAATCACAGATTACTATACTGTCCCAATATTATAAGGTTTATTATACTCCATATCGCCTATACCCTAAAACGATATAATACCGCTTAAAAATTCTAGTAGGATATTTTGGGCTGAACTATAGCTTAAATAAACAAAGTTTTGTCTGTAATGGGATCTGCATATTTACTGAAAAGAAAGATATAAGCTCCAGTAACGCAAAGATGACCTACTGTGCGCTTAAAAGGAGAAAATAGTTATGAGATCACATAATATAATATATGATGATAAATTCCTATTTATTAAAAAAGTTCATTAAATATTACAACTGTATAGAGAAAATTGGACTGACAATATCATTTATTTTACGATACAACAAATTTTAAAGTGGTATTACTATTTCCTCTTCTTATAATAATAAAAGTAATTATTATAGAAAAAAGACTTTAATGTCAAATTAAGTGAATTTATATATTTATATATTCGAATCATTAATTATCAGTGCTTTTTCGGACATGAATCTTTACAAAAATAATAGATTGTTTTGAATAGATTGTTTGAATAGTTCATTTTGTGTATTGGTTGCACTGCAAGTAACGTTTTTGTTAAACCACTAAACAGTTGCGATACTTAAAGTATAATAGCTTGCGCTTGCTTACTAAAATATTTATAACTTTTCTCTCGAAAACTTCAAATGCTACTTTACCATTCTGTGATAATGTCCTATACAAAACATATACTCCGCATACTCCAGAAGTATAGGTAGGACTAAGGTCCTGTAGAGCGTAAGTTCTAGCTCTCGAGAGAGAGTGCTCTACATGCCAATGGCCTGTAATAGCAGCTATTGGCAATAGTGATATTTTGTCTGATCTCCATGCTGACAAAGTTGTTGTTTTTTGCGGCGTACAGTGTGGCAAAACAAAAATTAACCGAACAAAATTTGATATTTTCTGATATTAAAATAAAATTTTTGTAGGTATTTTGGGCACTAAAACTCAACTTTCTACTTATCATAGATTTTGAGGAAACTCAGAAAGCTGAAAATGAACCATTTTTTATACAGAACTTAGAGGGGTTCCAGTAGGCTGATTAAGCTCAAATTAGATTTAAAAGAAAGACCATCTGAAAAACAAATTAAATTTAAATTTTGTTTCAATATCTCTACTGGCTCTACTGGTATCGTATTTTGATCAGCAAATTTCTGTTGTGTCACACTCTACAGCGGTGGCAAGGTAAGTTAAATCCTTGACAAATATGAAAATATAATCGTTGGCCTTAAAAATCGTAGATAGATATTTTAAGACTTTACCAATACTGTTAATATTTCATTTGAAAAAGTTTAGACGCTTTAGTTTTAGTATAAAAATTTCGACCGATTATTCTAATCATGTCTTTAAATGACACATCTTTTTTATATCGTCTACCTTTATTTTGTATGTATACTAAATTTTATAACATAATTGGATTTAATATAACTGATATCTTGATTATGAACGGCTGTGGCAAATGTAGAATAATAATGTATTAATACAAAAAAAAAACCAAAAACGATTTACAATATTAATGATAATTGTGGTGTCTTGCCGTAAATGATATGTATGGTAATGAGTGGTCTTACCAACTGACTTTATTAAAAACTTAAAAGAGTTTAAGAGCTAAACAATATGTGTAATACCTCCAACTCAAAAAATACCCAGATTTTGTAAATAAAACACACAAATTTAGATTTTATTCCAAATTTATTTTATCCTCCTTCAAAATATGCTCCTTCTGAAGCGATACACATATGCCAACGCTTAACTCAATCTTCCACACACTTTTCGTAGGCACGTGCAGGTATGGCTTTTAGTATCTTCGGCGAATTCTCTTTTACCGATTCAATCGACTCAAAACGCTTACCACGAAGGAGCAATTTGAGTTTCGGGAACAGGAAAAAGTCACACGGCGCAAGATCGGACGAATATGGTGCGTGAGCGATGACAGTGGTTCGCGTACAACAAAAATTTTCCATAGCAAAAATCGCTAAATGCACTTAAGCATAACAGGTGCTGTAAACAAGCTAATTGACAGATGGCGCTCAAATTTGTATCATATGTCAAGAAAGGGTGTTCCAATATAACAAAAAAAGGTCTATTACTTAAAGAGTAGTTAACAAAGAACAAAATCCAGATACTTTTTGAGCAGAACGTGTAACTTGTTTTGTGTAAATCATAATATAAATGTATATGACTATATATATCTTATTACTGGGATATACTGATATAATATACCAGGATTAAAACAATCCAAATCACTTATTGGTACCAATAAGAATTGTATGAATTGTATGAACCTATTAAAAGAAAAATTTGGAATCATCAGAGGAATCCTAACAGGGCACTGTAGACTAAAACACCATCTTACAAAACTAGGTATACTTACAGATGTAAACTGTTGATTCTGTGAATAGAATGAGGAGTCGATCACACATGTGCTGTTAGAATGTACTGTACTAAAGCACATACGAAATAGGCTTCTAGGAATGTATATTCTAACGGAAGTGGCAATAAAACTCTGTAAAGTAGGTTCAATACTACTTTTTATTGACTCAACGGGGCTTAAAGACCTACTCTAAGCCCAAAAGTGGGCACAATCGACCCGATGGCAGTGCCACATCCCCTTACAATCGTAATATATATCTTATTAATATAATTGTTATAACTTAACTGCTTAACTGCTTTATTTTTAATGAATTAAAGCAAAAATCTCGTTGCAATTAAATGTATCTCCTTATATTCAATTTTATTTGGCTTGGTGGCAGTATCTGAGGAGTGACCAAATATTTGATTTAATCAACTTAATTACAACTAAAAGGATAATCGTGTTAGTGGTCACAAGTGCGTTAATGCGTTTTTCTAATTTCATGAACTCAACCACTACTCCATTATCAACCAACCAAATATACAACGGCAACACTGGCAACACGGGCAATACGGGCAACACTGGAAGCTGGCGTCAGCAGCGGTACCGAGTGCGGCAGCAAATGAATGAGCTGAAAATGCGTTCAATTTGACCCTTCAATAAAAATAATATTACCTCAGCATTAAAATGATGGCGAAAAAATTATCAAAATCATCAAATGCTGCCACAAAAGCAGCATAAAAACTGCAAAAACTGTGGAAACTGTGAAAACTTTCGAAATGCCACAATGAAAAGAAACTAAACAGAAAAAGAAATACAAAAACAACAACAACAATAATAACAAAAATAAAACCGAAATGAAAAAGGAAAAGGATAAAGTACGAGTATTAGCAGGACGACGAATTGCAACTCTTAATTGAGGGTTAAAAACTAAAGTCAAACAAAATAGCGAAAATGTCAAACAGCAAAAGGATACTCGGCGAAAGGATATGCAGCGCAAAATAATAACTGCGAGCATAAAGCGAACTATGGCTGTCATTAAAGTTCGCAAATGAGCGTTTTGCTGCAAAGTTCAATTTTAATTTTTTTCATTTGTCCTTTTTAATTTTTTTTTTAGTAATTTTTTTGTTTCTTTTTTTTTATTATTATTTTGTTGACAAATGCAAACTCCGAGTGCAGTGCAACGAAAATGTGCTCAATTATTTGCTTTGTTAATATTTTATTTTTCTTCAAAACACCCAAAAAGAAAAAGAAAAAAAAACAACAATTGCGTTTTTAATGAACTTTATTTTCATTTCAAGTACTTCCTTGAGGTTTTGTTATTTTTGCCACAAAGCCAAAGGATACAGAGGATACATTTTAAGCAGATTAAAGCAGATCCAATCGTTGTATTTTAGTTTGGTTTTGTTAAGTGAGAAAGTCGTATTACTTTATAGTTCCACTAGAAGTCGTTCAATGACATAGTTCTATTTATGATTTTCAGATAATTTTAATCAATTGCTTATTTATATAAAAATTACGGTGCTTATTAATTGAAAGTAAATGATTTATCGCATAACTACAAAAGTTAGGTTAGGATAAACTGGCAATCCCAAGGGTATACTTGGTATTGCCAGTTTACACAAGGTATGCCACTGTGACACCGTAAGCCAATAGGCCTTATTTTAAATGTTAACTTTTTTGTATTATAACGCGTCTTATGACGAAAAGAAACTATTTAGAAGGGTTCGAACAATAAAGATGAAACAACAACAAAAAGTTTTTAATTAATTTATTTAATTTGTCTGACCACACAACGCTGTTTCGAGTATTGACAAGTACTCATTATCAGTGATCTTAGAAAATATTTCAATTTTTATGAAATTAGTTTATAGTTCGAATATAATTTGTTGGACTGCAAGTGCCAGGCTTAGAACTCGTGCCTGTCACATAAATAACGATGACTAATCATGTTTTCCCTCAGGAATGATATCCAGTCGCTGTATTCAATCAACCAAGCACCAGTGCTATAAATGGTGTTTTCTTAGTGGATCTGTAATAAATTGTCATAGGCAACATTCTATAGCCTAATCAAATAATTTGAATATAAATAACATAAATACTTCTTATAATCATAAATACCCAGCTTAAAACTTAATCGTGTGAGAGTCTCCATCATTTTAACTTTCATATGACAAACAAATGATACACCAATAATCACCATTAAAAACCATTAGTATGTAATATAGTGATTTTAATAGTAATTTTAACCATTATATATTAGTGGTTAAAACAACACAGTTGGGGTGAGGCCATCTGAAAGAGTTTTCTCCATATACTTTTATTTCGCCCTGCTGCCCCCATATTATTATTGGATCTCACCTATTATTTGTTATATAATCTATTCTTTTTGCTGTCTATTTTTCTATTCTTGTTGTACCTCAAAGGTGCGGTTTTAGTATATTCGATATAATGTACTAGTCGACCAGTAACTGCTGACTGCATAAGTTCTCCACTATCTTGGTAGATAATATGTTATAGTCTTAGTCATGCTCATTTAAATTTGATGTGTTCGAGGAATGTGTTATCTCCAGATCAATAAATAAAACAGTGCGTTACACTCAAGATAGGCTAATTTACTGCAGGTAGAGTATTTTTTAAAAATAGTTATTGGTCTATGCGGAACATTTATAAATCAACCGATATTTAAATTAAATCAATCGATATTTTGAAGGCATAGTATTCAAGTTATAAACCAATTCATAGAAGTTGAATATATAACACGTCATTGTGTCATTGGTGATTGTCAAAATTACTTCTTGTCATTAATTGTATAAAATTATATATCGGTTAAAAAAATGTTTAACTCATTTGCTCAAATTATATTTGTTTAATCATAATTTGAAATACCTATTCGAAGAGAGAGAACACCCTACTGAAGTACTCAAAAATGATTTACTCTCCCATATGATCTATTTTACATTAAACTGGACTCAAATAAAGTTCATCGCTTTCGCATAAAAGTATTTATGTACAATATTAACTGAAACCTTAATTGAAGAAGAATTTATCCATGATGAACTACGTGTAGTTTACAATTCTTGGATTTCTAATATTTCGAAGTAAACACATAATCTATACGAAGGCTGTTATTTTTTATTAAAATTTATTATCGATATAAACTTTATTTAAATTTATTTTGCATAGACTTATAAATATTTGTGAAAGCTTATTTTACAGCGTAATCAATACTGAATCCTGTCTCTGTAGTGTCTGTAAGTTCATCACTATAGAAGTACATGACATATGGAAGTCCACCTAGAAATTTTATTGAAAAAAAAGCTATTATTTAAAAAGCAAAACATCACACTAAAATAGTAACAATCTATTTATGAAAAATAAGTCAGTACCGAATAATAATTGTATAAATATTATTAAAATAATGATTAAGAATATAAGAAATATATAATTAATAATAACTTATTAGTTAATGTTATGAAAATTTTTTTTATATAATTTAAAAATAATCGCATTAAAATAAGTTCTCACTATGAGTTAATATTATTAAATATTAATATTAGAAATGGTAATAAAATGTATTATTTGTTAAATAAAAATATAAATAAACAAATATATTACCTAGAATTGTGACTTGCGTATTGCCATCGAGGTTACCACAATAATAGGTTGGCTGCATGTTCATATTACTTGCAAGCAGAGATTGTGGTATCATTAAGTAATCCTTTCTCACCTTATCAGAAAATACTGTACTATGACAATTTTCATCAAAACCTAAATTGATTGGATTACGACTAGACATTGAGAAATCTCTAGTAGTGTATCTGAAATGGATAAGCGAAATATAAGTAAAAGATAATAAAAATATTTAATAATACTTACTCAATCATAGTGGAACCCATCACAGGTTTGATGCAAATTGCATAATTTGTTTCTGCCATATAATAAGTATTCCCACTTGTTTGATAATTAAAACTCTTTATGGTACCTCTGCTATCTCTATAAAACTGATCACAACCAATTGGTGCCAATAAATCCCAATCACTATGATGTGTACTGAATATAGTGCGCAAATCCTGTAAATTGTTTTGATTGCCAAAAGATAAAATTGAGCTGGAACGCTTTTTGGCCACTGGGCACTCCAATTGTGTAACGATCAAACGCCACTTAGTATCCCGCCAACGATCTGGTAGTTCGAATGTCAATTGCACAACCTCATTTCCACCCATACGGAAAGGTATGTAAAGATGTTGTTGTGTATTATCGCCGCATAAAGTAAATTTATCCACAGTAAAATAATCTGTACAGTCCAATTTTTGCTGACCGACGTCCAGTGTTGGTTGTTTTAGTTCGAATCTTTCAAATTCAATCAGTAACTGACACACACTCGAACTGTAGGCTTCAATGCGATAATTGCAGGTTCGTTCTAACGTGACTGGATTGCGAATGATGATGCGTTTGAGCTTAGATGTGGCACCACATTGCAGGTTGGCTTTAAGAAGAAAATTGGGTGATATATTGTGAATATATGTTTGCAAGTTTTGAAAAGGAAACAATTAAGTTTAGTAAACAATTAAGAAGAGTTTTTCAAAATTTAAATTTAATAAAAAAATGAACATGCATTCTCATTGTTAAACATTTTCTCGAAGGAATAGACAAGAAGGAATCATTGTTATCCTTTTACATAACATTAGTCATTGATGAACAATTTTAGTATTTCATGTTATTCTTAAATAATTTCTTTTTCTATATTATATTGATTTTTAACGTTCGTTTTGACGAAAAAAACTAAATTCTTAACAGTAGTAAAATTGCAACAACAAACATTTTTTATTATTAATAATTAAATTTTTGGCCGATCATACAGCTGTTTCGAATATTGCCAAATACCTATCATCAGTGGTTTTGGAATTATTTCTTATATTTATTTATTCGAAAACAAGTTTTTGAGACTGGAAGTGTACCAGGGATTGAACTCGTACCCTGACAAATTTTAAGCTCAGAGTCAGTGTTCATTAGCCAACTGACCCAAAATCGTACTTGATTTGTATATTCAAACTGGAACTATTGTTAATTTGCTGTGTAAGTTCTTTTACAAATTCACTTGCTGTGATTTTTCTCGAAAGAAATACAGCAGTAATTATTTTCCACTAAATAATTTTGGTTTTTTAAAACTATGGTCTGCAACGACCTCAAAATGCGTAAGTACATATTTAGTATTTACTTTGACACTTTAAGGCAATCATTAATTACTATTTATTCCAAAAAAATGCTAAAGAAAGACTTTCTCCTTCATTTAAAAAGCAAAATTATTATTTTACTTTTCATAATGACAATAATAAGCAAGAAATAGTCAAACATTAGTGTATTGGATTAAAAGTACTTAAGTTATGTTTTTATTAAAAATAAACTTGAGTAGTGAAAGTGTGAAATACTGATTAAAATTTTGAATACATTTAACCAATCAATATTTTCTTAATATTTCGTAAGCAAGTATACTCTTTACCATAAACAGTCACATAAGCCCTCTCTGATATGAAGTCGTAAATATCTACTTAAAATAAACAAATTCTTTGGCTGATATTGTGTTATAATGTGAGTGATCGTGAGTGATCAGTTGAATAAAAATTCTGAATTTGTTGCAATTTTATTAAACAAGAATAAAAATTATATCATATCTTTCTTAAATTAAGACTTCTCAGACTATAACTGCTCTAGCAATTATAAAAATCGGTAAATCAGCCGCTGTAGCCTGATTATTTAATATATTGGATTTTAAAGTCGCATTAATTTTACTGACGAAAAACTTCTGATGCTCTTCAGATAAGTATCTGAAGAACAGATTCAAAACAAAAAATTATAAAAACAAAATTTTACCAATTTATTCTATAGAAATCCACTGTAAAGAAATTTTCATGGTTAAGCACAAGCTATACAAACACACAAAAATGTCTCTGAAATATATAGGCTCTCCTGCAAAAATTTGTTGTTCCTGGACTCCGCGTCACAAGTATCTCTAGTGACTCGTTGTTAACTTAATTGTGACACTCTGTTTGTGACATTGTCATTATGCTTATCATAGTAAATTAAATAAAAAATTTATATCGTAAAAAAAACTATAAATTGAAGTATTTATTTCCTTTGTTTCCAAGTTTTAAAATATTAACAATTTGCTTTGAAAACAAATTTTCGCGACTTAGTTTTTAAGTTATTTACACTTGTTCATATTATTCATTTTTTTTAAATATATTTTTTCTTATATTCTCACTCACTTTCACAACAAACTCCATAGGTACCACAATATCCTTTCACAGACCCGCCTTGTAGCATGCAATTAAAACGTGTCATGCAAGTGCCTTGCGTGTCTTCATCGGTTAAACAGCTATCCGACAATGTTCTTTTACGGGCTTGACGCGCTGTTGAGCCCACAGATATTTGCGGTTCTGGAGCTTCAGTATGATTATAAGTATTTGTGGTAAAAATTGACAATTGACCATGACTTAAATCCACAGCCAATAATAGAACACAGAATATGATTAAACTCATGACTGTCTTATTGCCAACCGATAAACTCTTTAACGAATGCGTTACGGGTACCCGAAATCAAATGAAACCAATCAATCTTGAATTTTTGCTTTTATATGAACCTTCAATAGACCAAATGCTACACGTACCATGACGAGCTCTCAGTTTAGGCAACTTTACTGATGTGCTTTTCATGTTCGATTCGTGGTATGAGCAAATATTTGTAAACATTTTAAATGGAAATAACTGTAGAAAGACGTTTCGTATCTTTCTTCTATGATTTCAATGCTCAATGCCTAAGCAGAGCACACAAATCAATGATATTGGTAGAATTGATTAAAGTATCGTCACACGTGAACTCGAAGGTGTATTCAAAATGTTTAGTGGAATTTGTTGAATCTAGAATATGGGGATGAAGTAGTTAAATGGTTGAGAAAATAAATTTAAAAAATAAAAAAATTAAAACTACAATTTTAAAATTTTTCTGAATATTCATTCATTCACAAAGTAATGAGTAAATCTATATGCTTGCTTCTTATTCTTAAACTTAACTCTTCAATTTTTTTTGTTAAGAAATATGTGCTGGAATAATTATTATTAAAAAAAGAAAAAATTCTGAATGTTCAGTGAACTGCTAATATTGACACAATGATTAATCAAATAGTAGGTTTGTTTCAGTATTTTCCCATCTCTTTGCTTACCAAATAAAAATTACAGAACAAAAATTTTGATATCAAAACGAAATTTATCGGCACATCGTCTCTTATTCTTTTTACATAAATTAATTGCTCCGCATATGGAAAATATCATTCCGAAATATAACTGATAAGAGATGCACAAAATTATTTTAAAATTTTAATATTAACTGATAAGAATTTTGGAAGTAAATAAGGGTTACCATACAAACATCGTCCGTTGAGGTGATTTAAAGTGACAGCCTTTTCGACAAAAAAGTTAACAACTTCGTTGCTATGTTGTTTTATATATATTAAGTTTTCAATTAGGTCCATTAAGTTTTCTTCTTTTATGTTCTCTCTTTTCTTTTTTATTGTTCTTACTTTTCTTCTTTCTTATTCTTCCTTTCTCCTTCTTCTTTTCAACCTTTTAATCTTTTATTATAGTTATTGTGAATATTTTTCTCTAAGCAACATAAATATCAAATCTTCTTCTTTTCATTAATAACCAACAACACAAATCAATTATATACAGATACGAATATAGGTGTGCAATATACAGGGTGGCTGACAAAAGTTGCAGCAAACTTCCCACCGATCTAGCTTTAAAACCAGTAATGACAAAAAGGTCAAAAGGAATTCATTGACAGTTAATTGTCTTGTTTACAATCGTAAAAAGGCATTTTGATTGTTGTGTCGTGGAGAGAAGTTAAAATGTGATAGTGTGATTGTTTTATATTTGGATTGAAAAACACAAGTGGCTATCATTCCAGCCCTCCAACATTTAAATGTTGACTCGATACCGTAATACTGATAGCGTTGACCGACGCCCATGAAGGGGACCAAAAAAAAAACAGTAACAACACCAGACATGATTCGTAAATTGAAGAAGGGAATTGAGCGAAACCCACGCTGTAGCTGCAATCATATGGCAAAGAATCTGAACGTATCACGAAAAAGAATGCAACGCATTTTAAAAAACGACCTCAGACTAAAGCCATTGAAGTTCAACAAAATGCATGTTCTCATTGCTGAACAAAAAAAGTTGGAGTCGAAGGAGCCAAAATGTTATTTCTTTTGACTGAAAGTGGTGAGTTGCTTAATTTGGTTTTTCTACTGAGTCATCATTCGCAATTGAGTACGTAAACAAACAAAATGATCGTGTTTATTTGTCAGAGAGGTCAGCTAAAAATTTAATGGCGACCAGAAAGCGGACACCACCGATGGTGATAGTGGGCCATAACGGCCGATGTTCTCTCTCGGCTCGTATTCATCGACCGTGGGGTAAAAATAAATGCATAAATCTATCGAGAAATTATTTAAGAGGAAACTTTGAAGCCCTAGGCAGATGAAGATTTCGATCGCAGACGTTAGACATTCAAACAGGACTCAGCATCATCGCAAAAAGTTTGCGTCAACCAAGAATGACTGAAAAACAATATTCCATGCTTTATTCTATCAACACAGTGGTCACTGTATTCACCTGATATAAACCATTTAGATTTCTAGGTCTGGGATATTTAAAGAAGTAAGTTTGGCACTAAAAAATACCTTAATGTTGATCGTCTAAAGCAACCGATAAGCCGAAAATGGGACACAATACCATAACGCCACTTGCGGGAAGCGTGCGATAGATTCAATGGCCGTTTGAAAACCATAATTCATGCTAGAGATTAACTTGAAAATTAAAGTTAATTTCGCATATCTTCATTAGATTTAACAAAAATAATAAAATAGAGCGTTTTACTTTGTTACAATTTTCATCAGCAACCCTGTATATATACATTCTGCCAAAGTGATTATTGGTGAAACCAATTGTCAATTTTTTTTTACAGGGTGTTTTATTTTAATAAAATGTGAGTTCGGAAATTTAATCATGTACTTAATTTTCAATTAACGAATTTATCAGTTAACCAATTTAGTCCATTAAATATCTTTTAATTTGCTTCCTAAGATGTTTTTGTACAAAAAAATGTAAGAGAATTGTGATTGTTTCAAATTTAAATGATATAATGTCTATAACATCTATATTAAATATTAAATGATATCTTCCCTTCTATATGATATCTTTGTTTCTTGAACCCAGGAATAATCTGCAGATCTTTAAATCGAAACACCCTGTAAGTGTAGTTGCGAAAATGAATAAATCAAAATTAAAAATTTGATAACTTAATACCAAACTAACTACTGTATTAATTTTAATTGTCTCTCGCCATGTTGCGGTACTAAAGGTGCTGTTAGCCCTCGGTAATACTGTCAAATGCAATATTGGCGAAACGACCAATCTTATCTTTATGACATTATAACTTTATGAAACACTTTAGTTGTTACTTCCAATAAATATTAATAAAATGAATATTACTAACAAATGAATAATATAATTATCAATATGAAAATAAAATAAACATTGGCTTTGGGTACAATGTCAATTATAAACACGACTAGTTTATTGTGTAAAAATACACAAACTTTAAAATATGAATGGAGAGAAAAATGATACCAATTAGTAATATGAAGCTCACTATATGAGGGTCACATTATAATAAAAATGTAATAAAAATATAATAATGATAATAAATATATAGTATTTTGTCTTTAAAAACGGGTTTACTATTTCTCAAGTTATTCTCTTATGTGATCTATGCATTTTTGCATGTGTTTGAACAGTTTTGATATTTTTTCAGTTTTTTTTCAGTTTTTAATCCAAAGCATGGATTTGAATGCACCAACAGTATCTTCCGCTATCTAAAATCGTTATTCACGCAGTTTATTTTTGAGGTGTAGAAAAAAGGATCGTTGAGTGTTAAAACATGAAGGAATGGCTCATGATCCAATAATTTAATGTTTATATGTTTTTTATATTAAGGCGGCTCCATCATCATTTCGGAGATTTGATAGGCTGTTTTCCAAATAAATAAGATTTCTCATCAAAACTGGCTGGTTTAAGTAGTGATCAATTATGTTATTGGTTAGTAGTAATTTGCATGGGTCCAATCAGACCTCAAGACAGTGGAAAGTCTTGATGCCATATCCTCCTTACGAACTGTTTATCCGATTGTTTGCCTAGACAACAAGGTTTTGAATATATTAATTTGCAAAAGTATCTGAAATTGAAATAATAATAGGAATACGGTTGTGGATAACTACGGCCACGGTTATAGGTCTGTACTACGGTTACTAATCTTATATTACTCTTTAGTTTAGAAATTATATAGTATTAAAGGAATTTATATTATCTTATATCGTGAAACTTGATTACATGCTTTAATTTATATAGTTCTCGTATCCTCTTGTTTTGCATATTGGCCATAAATTCGAGTCAATACAAGTTTTCATCTCCAATCTGAGATACTTTGTCGTTGTAAGTCGTTACAGATCAGTTTAAAAATTAAAATATATTCATTTTATTAGCACTATTGCTTCAGAAATATTTTCTAAAAGTTTCGAAGGACTATAATATTTTTAAATTATTCGGTTTATGACCGAATTCACAAACTATGCTTCCTAATAGTTTGTAAATGGTGACATTGATCAATTGCATCCTTTTATAATTTTTCTGAGTCAAGGTCAAATATTTTGAATGCTGACATTTGAAAATGTCTGTTGTACTTATCTCTTGACAATATTTCTATATTGAACTCCACAATCAAAAACAAATTAAACACCCTCTAAGTTCATTCACTTAAATGTTCTTCACATAAAAATAATAAATTACCGAAATAGGTTTATTTGTTTTGCAATTTATCAAAAAAAATGTCAAAACTATTTTAATAACCAAAAAGCACGACAACAACAACAAAGTTCACTTATCTACAACATTATTTGCTTCTAATTGTGCAATGTCGAACGATGTCACGATAAGCGAGTGAGCGAACATTCACCGGCGCAGTAGGCCTTCTCCCACAATAAAAGGATTGCGCCAGCTAGAAGACGAGCAGTTGACTTTGGGTCTTCAGAACATAAAGATGAAACTATTTACAATTTTGGCAGTGTTGAGTGTCGCGTCAGGCGCATTCGCAGCAGTAGCAAAACCAACTTGTGGTGGCACCAGCTCTTCGAAGGATACTCAATTGTTGACACCAACAAATCCACCACGCGAGTGTGTTTACCATATCAAAGCCACTAGCAGCTATGTGTGTCAATTACGTATTGATTTCGCTTGGACACTGGGACAACCTTCAGTACCATCCGATGAAAATGATCTTGCCTATGTGGAATGTGTTAATGATTACTTCCAAGTAGGTGACTTGAGATTATGTGGTACTGAAACCAATAATCACATCTATGTGCCATTCAATCGTACTGCTGGCGTGACAGTAGTAGATTTGCAAATTATATTGGCTTCACGTGTTGGTTACACTGGTTTACCAACACCCTCATGGGACATTTCAGTCACACAATTGGAATGCCCAACTGGTGCTTCAGTACGCGATTTAGATTTTGATATGCGATCTGATTTAGAATTTACACCAGAAGCACGTGCCACAATTAAGGATGGTTTCCTTGTAGCCCCACCAGGTTGCTTGCAATACTTCCCATCCAAATCGGGAGTAATCACTTCTTTCAACTATAACAAAGCTACAGGTATATACCCAGGCAATATGAACTATGCTATTTGCTTCCGTCGCGATACTGAAACTACCTCTTTACAGTAAGTATGAAATGACTCAATATCGTAACATTTTTTAATGAAACATTCTTTCAGATTAAGAACTTATCACTTCCAACTTGGTTCTGAAAATGAATCCAAATTAATGTCGTTGGACAATTATTGCTATCCTCAAGTTCGTTCCAGCACCAAGAGCCAAGACTATTTGCTAGTTCCACAAGCACAAATCGAAAATAGCGACATCTTCGCCACTTACTTCTGCGGTGAAAGTTTGGATGGTGCAATAGTACGAAGTAAGTTAAAAGATGGCGAAATTTCATGTCACAATGAAATTTCTTTTAATTGTCACTAAAAATACAACTAAAAGTTTGTAAGTGATTAATTTTAAATAATTTATTTTTTATTCTAGGCACAAACCCAGGACCTCTAATTATGGTATTCAACAGCGATGCAGTTTACAAGAAGACAGAAGCTGGTTTCTATTTCACCTACAAAGTTTTGTAAAGCTTTTTGAACTTTTAATAGAATTAAATATTTTTAAACTTTCACTAAAAATAAAAGCTTTATTTACAAAAGAAAAGTATATTCATTTTCTCGATAAGCTTAAAAGCTGTTTCTTCAAAAGAAAGTTATTGAAAGTTATTTTCTCAATGAGCTTAAAAGCTTTCTTCAAAAAGAATACATATATATTTTCTAGAATTGTCTCATCTAAAAATGAAAAGCTGCAAGTTTTAGAAATCTTTTGATTTGTGAATATAATAGATAGGGAAAATTGAGCAGGTCAGACACTTCTAAGTATAATATTTTTGAAAGTTATTCCTTGTAACTACTGGCAGTACCATGTTTTTGAGGTGAGTAATCCTTTCAGAGATTCGGTACTTGCACTCCAACAATGCAGAAATAAGTTATATTACGGTACCCCATCTTTGTATCAACGCATACTTTATATAAAAATGTTGAGATCCAATAATTTTTAAAAATACTGATTATCATAAAAAGTATTTGTTACAGTTTTTAAGCCTTTTGAAATCCATCAAATAAGATTGTGATATATGGTAATAAAACTGGAGATTAATTGATGCCGAAGCAAACAAACTGGCGGTATTTGAAAGAAAGATTATGAGAAAAGTATTTAGACCAGTATAAAAAAACGTAGAATATCGCATAATATATTATGATGAACTCGATCAACTGATAGAAGGTGATACAATAATCAAACACATAAAAAGCAACGTTTGAAGTGGACAGGGCACGTCGTGGATGCCAGAAGAAAGAGCAGCAGCCAGAATCTTCGAGATTCTGGAGAAATGGAGGAATGTCGTTAAAGAATTTTAGATCCAACATTAACTGTATAGCCATGGATGATGATGATGATATGGCGCCCAAAGTATAATTCATTCAGGTTCTTTATCATGACGGTTTTCATAGGAGTCGTATATGTAGCATCTGTTCTCAGTTTGTATAGCTGCAGATCAACTGATTCCATAAGATTTTTGTCCGTAGAATGTCCGTTAATGAAGAAATCAGCTCATATACGATTGAAGAATGATGAGGATTTATATTTACATAACCACAAGATTTTTATAAAAAAAAAATGGGTGATAAGATTTTCTTGTGATGAAAGCAACATTAACTAGTCGATTTCCTTGAGCATTAAAAGAAAAATAAATAAATGTGCGGCCTACGAACTTATGCTTTCATTAACTGTAAAATTATTTAAATATCTTTTGTTTGTAATATATGGTAAATATCATGTAGATCGGCAACAATGTAGATGAGCGGTCTCCTTTGACCGCTTAAGATGAGAAGTTCATGCAGTGTCGTAGCCTGGATTCTACTTAAGTGAGGAATAAAGTAGAAATTTTTTAAAGTAGAAATACTTAACTCAAAAACAAAGTTCACTGCAACACCTTTGAAAAACTTTGCTTTGAACTTGGTTCAGTAACAAACCATATATCGCAATGGGTTTGGTTTACAAACCCTAACTTAGCGCTGCTTCCATTTATACAAGCTTTCCCGACTATCAATTAATTATGCAGTAGTTGTTTAGTAATGATGTTCAATTAATGAAGGGTATTTAAATACGCTTCCTTCTCATATAACAGCAGTTTTCACAAAAATCATCTACATGAGTTTTAATCCCATTACAGTCAAATATAAAAAAGTTGAGAAGCAATTGTGTTATAACCGCTCTTTGTTATAACCGATTTTTAAACATCATCTCGATATCATCTTATTCCCGTTACATGTTAGTTTCTAAGGTAATTTAAAATTTTTTCTTGAAAATAATAAAACGGAACGATTCCAATTTCCAAGTCACACCTATTTGACAAAGAATTTAAGTAAAGTTAGCTACTCCTCGGGAAAAGTTATGGAATCTAGATCCATGCTATTAATCAATGTTGGATGGAAGCGCTGACGTCTTACGCTTCCATACACATACTTCAAATTTCGTGGATGATAACCATGCTTTAACTATGCAACTAATTCATACCAATGGGTATTAATAGCAACTTTTTACGTTTTATGTCAATATAGACTGGTTTTCGAAATATTGTACTTTTAAGCTAGAAATTTTTAAATAAAAATAACTAATAACAAATAAATGCACTATCTAGAGCGTTTACAATTTTAAAACTCGATTTCTTAAGTATCGCACATTTAATTTCTTTTTTAGACAGAAATAATTTAAACAAGTATAAAGTTATTATAATTAAAAAGAAATTATTATAAATACATTTATCTTCTTTCTTTTACCCATTTCAGATATTCCAAATGTTCCCGCTGTATTAAATTAAACAATTAAACTGATAATCATGTAATGTAAGTAATGTTATTGCAAAATCAAAACAAAACAAAGATTTATATTTATGTGCCTGCAAATGTTAATCCCGTTACAAGCCCAAAAATAAGGGATCATATATATCATTATCACATTTATTTATAAACTATTTGGAGAAACCAAGGCAGGTAAAAATTAATATATATATTTTTCAATAACTAAATTGTTTAATATATTTTAAAAAATTAAAACGGTAACGCAAATGAATTTATTTATTAATTTTAAATAAAACATTTTACTTCTTACTATTCTGAAAGTAATCCAAATAAAAGAGCTTTTACAGCTTGTTGCTTTTTGCTAACATGTCACTTAACATAATTCTGTTAAAGAAATGCTTACAGAAAATGCTTGCAACATGTTGATATCCCTGATAAGCAAATACTTCGCAATATTTTCATGTTGCTTTGATTTGATTTTGTTATTTGTTGCTAACATTGCCGGCAGTATTAGGAAATGTTGTGTTCTTCAGTTTACGTTCAACTGCCGCGAATTCAAAAAGCAAAAAGCGGATGAACCGGGAAAAGTTATAAAATGTAGTAACAATTAATATTAAATATTTGTTTATTAATATAACAAAAATATATATGTAATCAGAAAACAAAAAATTATTAACGAAAATATGTAAAAAAAAAATATTTAATTTTACTCCAAACATTTTTTAAATTCTTTTAAAGTTTGTGGTGTGTTTATTAAAAAAATTAATGTAAATAAAAAATTAAATGAAAATGATTTGAAATGGAATTGATATAAAATACAAAATAACATAAATAAATAAAAATGTGTAAAATAAAAAAATAACATGAACCAAATGTGGACAATTAAAAATTATGTTCAAAAATTAATTTTAAAAAATATAAAACACTACGACTTGCCGTTTTTTAGGTAAAACCATTTTATTTTTTCCTTGAAAAGCGCAAAAAAACACTAATTATATACATTTTAATTTTAAATTTCAATTATGTATAAAATAAATATTATTCTTTTATTTTTTTTTAATTAAATATAAATGATTAAAAAAGTTTTGTACAAATTGAATACTACAAATTTGTTTGGTTTGGCTTCGGTTTTTCTACTGCATTAGTTTTGTTTTGTTTTTTAATTAATTTAATTACTAAACCAAAAATAAAATTTGTTTATTTTAAATTCTTTTTTTTCACATTTGTTTTTATCAATTTTTTTTCAAATTTATTTATAAAGTAACTTAAATAGCAACAATTCACACTTAATGAACATTTAATGCTTTTATTAGATCGTTTGAAAATCTATTCGTTGGAGCGGCTTCTGTCCGTCAGCGGAGCCATCCATCGATAATTTAATTCCTGTTTACTTGTGCTATTTTCATATCGGTTAGAATTTTGGACTCGGAATTTTTATGCTGATTTTATTGGATGAATTAGCCGAAAATTAATCAAATTTCAAATCGCATGCAAATCTAGAATTTTTGTATCATTTTCAAATGGAATAATTTGTTTCGATTTTATTAACATATCAATTTTTGACAACATAAACATTAATTGATGAAAATTGTTATAGATTTGCAAATGGAGTTAATAAAATGCAAAGTAAAACTAAAATGTTTAATATAAAAAATATATAACATTTTTATTTAGTTGAAATGTGACTTTCTCAAATTCACATAAAAAAAATGAACAGCTTTTCCGTGATTTATGTGTAAAGCATTGTATAGTTAATTCTGAAGTGCTTGATATAAGATCTTAAATATTGCCATTCTGGTACTTTGTTATAATATCTCAAAAAATCATGTTTTTTAACTCAGGTGCTTATTAATAATAATCTTATCCAAACACACATTAAGGATAAACTTGTACGTGTTATATTATTACACTAGGCTGTATAAACTTTTACCGTCTTAAACTGCTAAATATACTGGTGAGACACTAGTACTTGATTCTTATGGCGACAGATATTCTTTATGGTTCAAGTAGTGCATAAGTGCTTTTCAAAATGTTTTAATAATTTTAAAGATATTCATTTATATGTATCATCAAGAATTTTTCAATAAATTTATAAAGCAACACGATTATTAAAAAATTGTATTAATAATTATAATTAAACATCATAAATAATTATAATGAAAATATAGTTTTATTGTTTTATCAATTTAGAATCCACAAATATATAATTTTAATTATGTTACAAAACGTAAAATTTGTTAGACTATTCGTATATTAAGCAAAATATTAACAATATTCTCTATCAGTCTGATTATGTATTATATGACCTGTTGTTGGTGTCATCACTACCTATGTATGTACTCCACATTGTTTTTTACCGATTTTGATCACCGGAACGTACTTTCTTAATGTTCTAGTGCGTTCTTATCATGACTTCTCCATTAATGAATAATATGATTATTTGAGTCTTTTCTGCATGAATTTTTGAAGCGTTATTTCCCATTTTCTATATCTTTATGTTTCTTTCAGAAAATTGTTTCTTGAATTTATTGAAAACAACGGTAGCTGTTGCCCTTTGATTTAGTAAAACTAAATGATTCATTCATTTAGACTTTAAAGATAAAGGATAGCAATAATTATAAATGAAACATAATACAGTTAATATAGACAGATCACACAAACAAAATTATAATTTAATTATATAAATAATAGGAAACAGTTATAAAATAATCCAAGTTTTTATTCTTTTTTAAAAATATTAGTCCATTGTAGTTGTAGTTTTCT